AGACCTCAAACCCCTCATCCCCAGCTCTGAGACCACACCCCCAGATGGAGCCCTCACCCCCCCGCACCTCAACGCTCTGCCGCAGCCCTGAGCCCTGTCCCACACTCCGAACGCCTCGGCCCCACACCCGCCACATGAATTTTGTTACGTGTACCAATGTGGAGGTAATGTGTGACACATCACCTCCATATTGGTGCACATAACAAAATTCCTTCCACACATGAGTGGGAAAAATTGAAGGGAACACTGGCTGAAACTCTGACAAAATCCAACCCATTTGTCACAACTCCTTTCCCATAGACCCAGGAATGGGAAATTGTGAGTGTAGCAAATGGTGACAGGGCAGTCCTCGACTTTAGCGCCCACTGCCCTGCATGATTTTCTTCCGCTCCTACTTCTCCATGGATCCCGAGACCTGGGCTGTACACCAACCAGTGTTCTACAAACGGGCATGAGGAGAGGAGAGGAGAGGAGAGGAGAGAGAGTGTGTTGGCCAACATACTAGAGAAGAGAGAGAGAGAGAGAAAAACATGGGAGGAAAGGAAGCACCTGGCGTTATTCTCCTGGAGGTAACCTTGAGCTGCAGAGGAGACACAGTTCCTGACCAGAGAAATGAGCAACCTCTGAAAATAGGGACCTTTTCTCCCTCGTAACCACAGTTAGTCAGGAACCATTCATACAAACCCCGCCCTACTGTACTAGGCTTCCCAACCTGGACTCAGGTGGAGTCTGAGCAGAGCCCTCACCAAACCAGACACTTCTCACTATCAGCAGTGTCTGCTAGGCTCCCAGATGGACGGCTTTTGCATGGCATCAACAATGCTCAGAGTCTCGACGCTCTGGCTCGCTTTCCATCACATGAGGAAGGAACCAGGCAGAGGGGGGAAAAACAAAAAAATTAGCATCTCTGTCTGCAATGTCGCATAGTCTCTTCATTTCACTTCTCCCATATCCCACGGCTCCGCCCTCAACCCATCTCCTATTACTACATTACAACTGCAACTAGAAGGCACCCATTGTAACTCACTTTCCTCAGGAAACTCTTGTCCCTTCCCCAGCCTTAATCCCAGAGCCTCGTAACTAACTAGGAAGCACACGGCCTGTGAAGAAAACTACAGCGAGCACAGATGAGGAATTCAAAGCACTGACCTCTTACTCACAGCCAGCGATGCAGAAGGCAGAAACATGAGGACTATTCACGTCTCCTTAGAAGGATGTCCAGGCTGCTCAGGTCCACTTCTGCCATATTCTTGTCCGGCTAGGGCTCCTGGACGATTCCTCCACAAACTAATAAAGCCAAGCAAAAACTATCACTACACAGAGCTCGATTGGTGCGTTGAATCTTGCCCTCATCCCTGCCTCCCTCTCCAGTCCCATCTACATCAGCCCCACTGGATGAACAGAGACTGAGTAAACACAGACAGTCACAGCTCCACTTTAGCGCCCACTGCCCCGCATGCTTTTCGTCCACTCCAACTTCTCCATGGCTCCCGAGACCTGGCCTCTGGGGATGCACACCTAGCACACCTGCCTGTGTCCTACGAAGGGAGGCAGAACAAGGAAAGGCAAGGACAGACATAGAGAGACAGAGGGTTTGTGTTGGCCAACGTACTAGAGAAGAGAGAGAGACAGATAGAAAGACATGGGAGGAAGGCAAGCAACTCACCACCTGGAGTCATCCTCCTGGATGAGCACAACAATCACCAAACCAGACACTTATCTCACTGAGAGTGGCGGCCGTTCCCCTCCCAGTTGGACGGCTTTTGCGTGACATCAACAATGCTCATGGTCTCGTCACTCCGGCTTGCTTTCCATCACATGAGGGCTTGAGTCTCTGAGGCGTGACTTCTTTTCCCTCGGTCCTAAACCCAGCACAAGGGGAAAACACAAATCCGTTACCATCTCAGTCGGCAACATCTCGTAGGCTCTTCCTTTCGCCTCTCCCTCACAGCGGGGCTCCTCCCTCAAACATCTTCCCTTTACACCTTTAGCATTAGAACCAAAAAGCACCCCTTGCAACGGCACCCGACAGTCACTCTGCACAGCAGACTCTGGCCCCTCCCCAGCCGTAATCTCACAGAGCCCCATACCCAACGAGAAAGCACACGGCCTGTGAAGAATACTACAGCGAGCACAGATGAGAAATTCAGACCGTTGACCGCTTACTCACAGCCAATTATGTGGGAGTCAGAAAGCTGAGAACTGTTCATATCTGCTTATAAGGATGTCCAGTCTGCTCATGTCCACTTCTGCCACTTTCTCCTCAGGATAGGGCTCTTGGAAAATTCCTCTGGAAGTGCAGCTGCAAAAGCCAAGCATGAGCCATCACTACTTAAAGCACTATATGTCGCCTCAAATCTTGCCCTCCTCCTGGCCTCCCTCTCCAATCCCATCTACATCAGCCCCACTCGATGAACAGAGACCAAGTTAACATCAACAGTCACAGACCTGCATGGTTTTCGTCCCCTCTTACTTCTCCATGGCTCCCAAGACCTGGCCTGCGGGGATGCACACCGAGCAAGCCTGCCCGTCTCCTACGAAGGGAGACCGCACGAGGACAGGAGAGGAAAGAGTGAGAAAGTTGGCCAACACACAAGAGGAGAGAGAGAGAGAAAAAAAAATGGGAGGAAAGCAAGCAGCTCACCACCTCGAGTCATCCTCCTGAATCCAACCTTCTGCTGCGGAGGAGACACTGTTCCTGACGAGAGAAATGAGCAACCTCTCAAAGTAGGGACCTTTTCCCCCTTGTAACCACACCTAGTCAGGAACCTTTTCATACAAACCCAGCCCTAACTTAGTGGGCTTCCCTACCTGGACTCAGGTTGGGCGTGAGCAGAGCCCTCATGAAACAAGACACTTATCTCACTGACAGCGGCATCTCCTTGGCTCCCAGATGGATGGCTTTTGCGTGGCATCAACAATGCTCAGAGTCTCAACGCTCTCGCTCGCTTTCCATCACGAGGGCAGTAGACTCTGACGGGTGACTTTGTTTTCCTTGGTTCTAAACCTAAAGGGGGGGGAAGGGGAGCCAAAAAAATTAGCATCTCCGTCTGCAATGTCGCGTAGTATCTTCTTTTCACATCTCCCATATCCCACGGCCCCACCCTCAACCCATCTCCCATTACTACGTTACAACTGCAACTAGAAGCCACCCAAAATATTCACTTTCTTCAGGAGACTCTTGTCCCTTCCCCAGCCTTAATCTCAGAGCCTCATGCCCAACGAGGAAGCACACGGCCTGTGAAGAAAACTACAGCGACTACAGATGAGGAATTCAAAGCACTGACCTCTTATCCCTGCCTCCCTCTCCAGTCCCATCTACATCAGCCCCACTCGAAGAAAACTACAGCGACTACAGATGAGGAATTCAAAGCACTGACCTCTTATCCCTGCCTCCCTCTCCAGTCCCATCTACATCAGCCCCACTCGATGAACAGAGACCGAGTAAACACAAACAGTCACAGCTCCACTTTAGTGCCCACTGCCCCGCATGGTTTTCGTCCGCTCCTACTTCTCCGTGGCTCCCGAGACCTGGCTAGGATGCACACCTAGCACGGATGCCCGTGGTCCTACGAACGGAGACGGCACGAGGAGAGAAGAGGAAATAGAGTGAGAAAGTTGGCCAACACACTAGAGGAGAGAGAGAAAGAGACAGAGAGAAAAAAATGGGAGGAAGGCAAGCAACT